CGAAGTTTCTTAGTCTTGTACAAGGATGCATGTAGTCTTATAAACAAGTCAACCGAGCTCAATAATGTGATAAGCAACAAAAGTCCTGACATCATTGGAATCTCAGAAACTTGTCCCACTTTTTGGATCAGTGACTGTGAAACACACGAGGATTCTCCCCTTTTAGAAGTGACAGGCCTGCGCACAAAGGTGGTGTCATGCTACACGTTAAGAATGTCTCAACTACGAAGGCTACGTAAACAGTTGTACATGAAAGTGGGCCAGCTGAAATGCTGCGCAGCCGACTGCTGCGACGTAAGAGAAAGTACTGGAGTCTTGCCACCCACCTAGGCACACTTGAAGTGGCGAAGCATCACAAAGAAGCCGGGAATGTGTGGCGCTGCTATCCGCCGGTCTCGAATAACAAGTCTCGCCCAGGCTGCATTGCAGCATCCGAAGAGGTTACTTTCCTATGTGAATTATAGAAATAAGATGTGTCGTGAGACGCTCACCTCGATCAAATGGATAGAAACTGACTGCTTGATTGAGGACAGTAGAGAAATAGCAGAAGCCAAGACTGGATACTTTGTTGAGGTCTTCACACAGGAATCTTCCCCGGACACCTATCCAACAGAATAAACTGTAGATATCGATCGCAATGATGCATTTTGGAACTTAAGTAATCTCGACGCGGAAAAATCAAGGGGACCGTATGAGCCGCACTCAAGGCTGCTGAGACAGCAGGTACTCTATGTAGCCGGCCCATTGACTACTACATTCAGACTGTCTCTCAGTGATGGTACAGTCCTTTATGAATGGAAGGATGCCATAGAAACACCCATCCACAAGACAGGTTCAAGGCAGCACCCATCAAATTGCCGACCTGTAAGTTTGACTAGCACTGTAGTTTGCTACAGGAAGAGTGACCAAGAAAGCCAACACAGTCCACCTAGACAGCAAGACTGTATTTTCTGGTTCGCAGCATGGCTTCTGTGGAAATTTCTCTTGCTTGATGAACCTCCTTACAGCCAAAGAAAGTTGGATGGAGTCTAATGACGATAGGATACCTATAAATGTCATCTTCACAGACTTTAGTAAGGCGTTCGACAAGGTACCCCATTCCATTCTGGGCATTATGTAGAATGTTTACGAAAGTAAGTTGTGACATGTTCATCATCTTATACACATCCTTAGTTAGGTCCGGATTACAAAACTGCACACAGGCGTCTAATCCTTGTCTGCACGATGACGCGGACCTTCAAGGGAGAGTTCAGAGGGCAACCACTGGTATGACCCCTGCGATGACTAGCCCCACTCATGAAGGCCGACTTAAAGAACTGAACCTCTTCGCCTGATCCCATCGCAGGCAGAGGGCAGATGTAATCATGCTAAGAAGTGACTTCAGACTTGATATGTCTTCCCTTTGCCCTCCCACCAGGTAGGACCACCTCAGAGTACATGGTAGGAGACCACGAAAGCAAAGAACGAACATAGTCCCGCACAGCACAGGTTATCGCGTTGGGTAATCAATGCCCGGAGCCGACTCTCAGAACAAGTGGTGTCCGCGTTATCAGTTGACTCGTTCAAAATGGATTGGACAAGCACATAAATCTACTGGAAAAGGATCATCATAGGTTTCCGGCCTTCCATCTTCAAACGAATCTGAAACCTGAATCTGACATCCTGTGAATCGTCCGGGATATGAAAAACACATAAATACGACAGAAAACGAATGATACAAGCTCATGGATTGGTGTCATCAAGATAAGAATCTGAATCTGAAGTTCGCTTCCCTGCCTTCCTTAAAACCACCTAGGTTTCTCCTTTCCTTTGGTTCTGCCTCCCCACTTGTTTACTGTCACTTCCTCTTTCTTGCCTTCGCTGTACATCCTTTAATGACTTCGCCCTTCTTTATACAGCCAGTCCGAATGACCGTCTGGCGATAAAGCATTTGATGAATCCAACTGCACCACAATCTTTGGACCAGCCACAGAACCCGGTAGCGGTTTTTGAATTTTCTCGTGATGCCCTTGGAGATAGTCAGGGGTGAAAAGGTACGACATATCAGTACCGAAGTCATTATTATGAATTCGAAATGACAGTATGGGATCAACCCGTTTCCTACGGTAAGACGGTGGGAATAAGTTTAGCTAATCTGATCGTTCCTCATTGAACAGATTCGAAAAGCCTGCCACAAGCTTTATACCTACCCTATGAACACGCTGTAGTACGTCAGCATCCTTTTTCAGGCATGGGATGACTGCCTTAACGCAGTATTTTAAGTGAGGTCTAACTTAAGTAGAGTAGAGTATCCTGAACATGTCCTGATCAAAACATTTGAAAGCTCTGCGGAAGAACAATAATAATGCACAGAAGCCCTTCGCTGCAGCTACATTGCAGTTTGCGGAGGTGTACAAGCCACGACTAATGATGACACCCAAGTCTTTTAGTTCAAAGACCGGGAGTAATTGTGTACCACCAACGGAATACTGCAAACAATTGCTACGACCGGTGTGCATTATCGCACCTTTGCTAGAGTTGATTTCCGGGCACCAACGTTTGTAACAACCTAATAGTTCGTCTAAATCCACCTGAAGTGCATACCTATCTGCATCACTGCGTATGGCTCTCCAAATCTTTACATCACCGGCGAATAACAGTATCGAAGAGTTGAGCATTTTTGGCAGTTCGTTGATATATAATAAGAAAAGTAGTGGGCCTAGGATTGTTCCTCAAGGAACTCCACTCATCACAGGCTTCCACTCGAACAGTTCCCATTTACTCTTACTCTTTGGCTTCCATCATACAAAAGTTCCTAATCTAGGCTTGCAATAAAGCACCAAACCCGAAGGGGGAGAGCTTTCCTAGTAATTTCACATGCGAAACTTTGTCGAATGCCCTACTGAGGTCTATAAACCCGGCATCTATCGGCAGCTTGCAATCACGGGCTGCAACCTATTCCTCACTTGCGACAAGAAGGTTAGTTACCCAGGAGTGTTCAGTACGAAAACCATGTTGCTGTGGTGCCAAAAGATATACCAGAGCCGCAGAATGAAAAAGGGTAGACTTAAGGCATCAGAATCCACCAAATACCTGGAACCTTTCCTCCAACTTACTAACTGCCTGGGACGACTGGACACAAAGCTGGGATAATAGAAAACCTGTACATGCTGTATTTCTCGACCTAGCCAAAGCATTTGACAGTGTCCCACCCACAGTACTGCTTCACAAGATCATGTCAGCTGGTATAAGTGGACCCCTACTCTCTTGGTTCAAGGAGTACCTGGAAGGGAGGCAGTTCTGCACTAAAGTGAACAGAATAAGGTCGGAGTGGAGACCGTCGACGTCAGGAGTATCCCAAGGAGCAATCCTAGGACCGCTTCTGTTCCTCCTCTTTGTCAACGATCTGCCAGACAAAATATCCTCACCCATCCTCCTCTTCGCTGACGACATAAAAATTTGGAGGGTGGTAAACGAAGAAGCCGACTGTGCAGCACTACAAAAGGACTTGCAGCAACTCGAGCTCTGGTCGTCGGAAAATGGTCTGAGCTTCAACTGGAAAAGTGCAAAGTAATGCACATCAGTAAAAATGAGGCAAGTACGACCGACTTCCAGTACATGTTGAGCAACCGTGCTATCACCAGAGTGTCCATGGAGAAAGATTTGGGGCTCAACTTCTCCGACACCTTGGACACCAGCTCCAACTACAAAGGTATGACAACCAGAGCGAACGCCATTCTACACTTTCTGCGTAGACAGCTTGGCGCCCTCACTCCCGAACTCTTCCTTACCATTTTCAAATCCTACGTGCGGCCGCACCTAGAGGTCTTCAATACGGTGGCTCCTCCAACACTCAAGAGAGACTCTAATCTCCTTGAAAGAATACAAAGAACTGCAACAAAATCAGTTGTGGGGCTAAGGGGAAAGACGTATCCTGAAAGACTTAAACACCTCAACCTATTTACCTTGGGTTATCGCAGGAAAAGGGGTGACCTCATTATGGCATACAAGATCGCCCATCAGGCAGACCATGCAAACAAATCAATTTTGCCTGCAACTGAACGATCTTCACGAGGAAACCCCTTTAAGATAGCACACCAGAGAGCCAACACCACACTCAGGTCCAAATTTTTCTCCCTGAGAGTATGTGCTTTATGGAATGCCTTACCGCGACACATCGTTATAGCTCCTTCAATCGACTCTTTCAAGAGGCGATTAGACAGTTATGTCACCTCGCATGGACTACCACGGACGTACTCAGGTAGTCACCAACCTCAGTAGCCCCCAACTCCCTCCTAACTACCACTCACTATCTCTCTCCTTAATACACCCACATTACCTACTAATTCTTCTGTAGGAACCAAACCCACGCGACCATTCGTGCAATTCCCAAATACTTTTCTTTCGTTCTCATTTCTCTCTTCACCCCTTCTTTTATTCTCCTTCCCTTTCCTCTTCCCTACATTATTATTACTATTATTTTTATTTTTAATTTTATTTATTTATTTATTTATTTATTTTTATTTTATTTTTTTTATTTTATTTTATTTATTTATTTATTTATTTTTTTTACTCTTCCTTACTTCTCTCTTCATTCCTTTACCACTACCTTAATATTCTCTTTCAGGTACCTACACAGACAGGAGTCACGGTTGTTCTCTAAACTTCCCAGCAGCCCGTAGCTCCCTAATCACTCTACAAATTACAACCTACTAACCCACAAAACATCCACCTCACCGAAGCTAAAAGCAAGAAAGCAGAGGGGATTTCCTCGTCCACTGCAGGAGTGAACCGAACAACTGGAACCAAGCCCTAAGAACTAGACGCGAGAGATCAAAAACTACTAGTTTTCTACGCTCGCACTATCAATATTGGATATTGGAGGCTTGGAAACGAGTGCTAAGGAACTAATTAGTTTGCGAAGGCTCCTTAAAGGGCACTGGATATTGGATTGGAGGTGGTTGACCTTCGTCCGCCCGCGACTTTTGACACTCGTCTCTGAGTAATAAGAAGATCCGGTCATGGAACGTCTTCTCCGACTGGGTGCTGATGGGTTAGCTGCTTTGGGACAGTCAAGTGCCCAACCAACAGATGGCCCTGTGCCAGACACAGCTGAGCAAGTGTATATAAGCAGCCTTGCTCTACTAAAAATGCTCAAACATGGAAGAGCTGGTGTTCCGATGGAAGTTATGGGTCTAATGTTAGGTGAATTTGTTGATGACTATACTGTAACCGTCGTCGATGTGTTTGCCATGCCTCAGTCTGGTACAGGTGTTAGTGTCGAGGCTGTAGATCCTGTTTTTCAGGCTAAAATGTTAGATATGCTCAGACAAACTGGACGGTATTTCTGTTTTCTATTTATTTTCCCTATTTAGTCCAGAGATGGTTGTTGGCTGGTACCACTCACATCCAGGTTTTGGTTGTTGGTTATCTGGAGTTGATATGAATACACAACAGAGTTTTGAGGCACTTTCTGACCGTGCAGTGGCTGTTGTTGTGGACCCTATACAAAGCGTAAAAGGCAAAGTAACGTTCAGTACTATGCTAACTTTTTCAAGGTTGTAATTGATGCTTTTCGTTTAATCAACCCAAATCTTGTTATTACACATCAAGAGCCTAGGCAAACTACATCAAATGTCGGACATCTTAGCAAACCTACAATTCAAGCTCTGATTCACGGTCTCAATAGACATTATTATTCTCTACCAATCAATTACCGCAAAAATAAGTGGGAAATTAAAGTAAATTTAAATTGCTTCTCATGATTGAGTTAAGATGCTGATGAATTTGAACAAACGTACATGGAGAGATGGGCTAACCTTAGAAGATTATAACACTCATTGCTCAGCTAACCACAAAACGCTTCAAACTATGCTCGATCTCGTCAAGTCCTATAATAAGGTTTGTTGTGCAGACCAGTTTCTATTCTCTTTAGTCGCTTGAAGATGAGGAAAAGATGACTCCAGAGCAGTTGGCTATCAAAAATGTGGGGAAAATGGTATGTTCCTAATAGTTTTTGACGACATGCTTTGCTTTAGGATCCAAAGCGACACTTAGGAGAGCATGTGGATGAACTGATGACCTCCAATATAACACAGTGTTTGGGAGCTATGCTACATTCTGTTGTCTTCACATGAATAATTAACCAAATAAATTTGTTTTTTACATAAAGCTTTTTTTTTCGAACCCTGCCTGCCAGTTACTGTTTATTAAGGCATTCTTATTATCTTCAGGAAACATGAGTTCAGATATGTTGTCTGAAGAAGAGCGTCAACTTATTGAAGCTAAACGAAGAAAAGCACTTGAGTCCCGTAATCGTCATGTTAGTGGGTCAGTTAACTCAATACCCACAGATACTAAGCAGAATGTACTTATTAGCCAGTCCATATCGAACCAAAGTAATCGTGGTGTAACACAAGCTGCGAAACTAGGACAAGATTTCATGCGTATGGCTAGAGCTTGGACTAGTACTAGGTGAGTTTAGGTTTTTGTAACTAAATATATTCACTATGATAAATAGGTTTTGTACGAGTGATACATTTAATTTGACTGATATTTGTGTGTTGTACAGTGCGTTTTCAATATATTAGGAAATTTTGGGAAGGCATCCTCATTATGTGACTTTTCATAATCCTTTTTAAAGTGTGATCATGATTTTTATTGGCTTTACGCTTATAAGAATGTCACCAGCTCTGCTGTTATACATAATGTCATGCAGCGGGTCTAGTCTTGTTGAGCGGTAAGCACTTGCACACCGATCAGTGACATAAGTGGCTACTGAGCATCAAAGTCAAATATCTATTTTTATTGTAGATGTTTTTCTTAAATCATATGAACTATGATAAAGATTTGACGGAGTAAAATCGTAAATATTGGACACTGAGTAGAAAGTTAGCTGGTTTATAATACAGTAATCTCAGCGTTTCACACGTCTGGTCCCAGGTTCTTCAGAAAAATAGTCCAAAATAATAATATAAAAAATGTAAATGAATTCAAAGAAGAATTGACAAAGAGATTAAGTATGCGTCTTTGAATTCATTTACTTATCTCTAATATTTTGGTTTTTGATTACTTCCCTGAAGTTTCTCGGACCGGACTTCCATGCATAAACTGACAATGCTGTGCCTCATAGGACCGAGTTTACTTCATGTGTTGGTGTTTTGGCAGTTAAGGTCCTCAATACAAGGTTCAATGGTTGGAGACTCTCGTTAACGGCTGAAATTGATCACAGTAGCACAGATGTACTCTGTACCATTTCTGTAATTTCAAACATTCTCACTAACTTTTGGTTATTTCGCCTATCCTCTGTTTGACGACCATCGCCTTCGTAGCATAAACCTTGTCTTGGTGCCACTATGTCAATAATATGGAAGTCAGGTGTAGGGTTTTTATTATAAGATGAAAATTAAAAGTGGTTCAGGTGACTGAGGCATGTGTTGTGTGTGCCTAGTCACCACCTGTCTTATAATGCAGTGTTAGCTGAATTCGGTTTAAGGTAGAAAGATGTTAGGGGTGGCCAGACTAAAACAGCATTATTACATGAAGTCTTTGACTGTTGGTCTAAGCCATGTGGGGAAATGTGAATTTTCAGGTTGAAGTCCGTGGGACAGCAGAAACCAGTGGTTGGAGACCGCAGGTGATATGACTGGGAATCGGTGTAGGTGGTGCAGATGTATCCATATATTAGTAATAAATAAAATTTAAATAATAAGATGCACTCAGCAGTCTTGTACGTATTGGTACAGTAGGCAATGAGCCACACCAATCGCATGAAGCCTAATGGTACCTGGTACTACCTGGCCGCTCAAACTTCGGTAAGCGGAGTGGGGTTCAAACCCGAAATCCACTGCTGGTTATCTGCCTAAACTAATGAGCTGCAGCTGCACGTATCCACACACTATCCTCATCTTAAGTGTCATACTACATTTACTACTGTCTTATTCCTCCTTGCTATCTCAACTTTCTGCCACATTGATTGCCTTCTTCTCTGTTTCTTTCATCTTATTGCTTTGTTGCTTGGCGTGCTGATATTACGTGTAGTAACTTGGACCGTTACGCAGCAATGACTGGTCTTATGTTGATCTTAGTGTCAGTGTTACTGACTACACGTGTTTGCTTTTTGGGAATTTTTCTATCATTAACCTAGTAAAAGTCGTAGGTGTTGCTGCTGGACACATTTTTTATCCATAGATCAGTGTTTAAATCATAAAACCTATCAAAAATATATGGATATCGATGATATGAAGTAGATACCTCATATAGCGTTTTTCACATTAACACAGCAAATAAAAATATTCTGTCAGCAGTTCGAGAGTATGCACTGTTATGCTGGACTCTATTTGGTCACACTCAGAGTGGTCGTTAGACGAGTAAGTAGTGTTGTTTTAAGGGAATCGACAGGAAACGCTGCGACTAGGTTTCGTATTGGTTGACACCTATCAACAAGGTGTATATGCAACCTCGACGAAAATAATTTTCTCGTCTGAGATTCAAATCCGCTGGTAGTTGGAGAAATCAGTTACTATTTTTCTTGACCTGAATGGTTGTGAACAATATGGATTACGTTGTTTGATACTTGTAGCTCCGCGTTGCTCCACACGGTCAAATTGCCCAACCTCTGGTGACATGGGCTCCCATGTGGGTGCCTTGATACTGTCGGGTATCCATGATGTCTTATTCATGTTTTTAATTTGCGGTGGAATCAAGGATGCGCGTTTCGTCCTGTTTGGGACTCATCAGCTGGATGCACTTGTACCCCAGTGAGTGATGTCGTTCCCACTGAGACTCAAACCCAGTAACCACCGCTTTAGACGGCAAACCGTTCAGTACCAGTTGCCCAGTATAATGAATATCTGGTAGTATCGAGGCCTCCAAATTGGAGCCCACCTGCCAATAGACTTTGAGCAATTCGACCCTGTATTGCAGGGGGGAATTACACATATCAGACAACAACTGATATCCGTTTCAAAAAAGGTGGCTGTCGTGTCCCACTGACATCCTGGGGTTTGAAACGATGGGTTCGAGTCTCAGTGGAAAAACATCACTCACTGGAATGCAGGTACACCCAGTTGACGAGTCCCAAGTCGGACAAAATGTGCATCCTGGATTCCACTCATAGTCACCAACGTGAGTACGACATGGATTACAATTTTCAAAGCGATGTCATTTGCTAGCACCATAGAAAATGTTAGTGGTGATGCAACTGAATTAGAATTTCGTTCGCATTTTAAGATATGCCTTTCACTTACTGCCTTTCCCCCCGTGTTTTTTCTGTTATATTTCATTATTTTGTTGAGGCCAATACCTTGTTAAGTTTCTATTCATCTGTTTAATAATCCGAGTCGACTGAAGTAGATTGCCTGCAGTCTGTTTGTTAGCTTATTAACTTAGTGTTTATCTTTTTTATTGAAAATGTTTGAATGTTCTTGTCATAATTTGAACTATTGATTTCCTTCAGTTTTTTCTTTAATTCTAACTGAACATATTTGATAGCCAGATTTTCAATGCAATTATGATCAGTCAACAGCTTCTTTACCTTTATCAGAATAACAAGATATTCTAGGTTTACAAAGATTCATTTTTATAAGTGAACCTCCAATGTTAAAGACGGTGTTATCCTATTCTTAGATAAATGCTAAATTCTCTCGGCATAGCTATTTTTGCAAAGTGCAGGGGATTCTGTATATCAAAATAAAGTCCTGGCCACTAATTCACCTTATAGTGTACTAAGTGAGCAGCTCGGAAAAGCTTATCTTCCGTAGAATCTCTTGGGAAATACACAATTGAGAGTTATGGACCTATTGTTGTAGATATATATGCCACATCTTGAGTTGTAAATACAAGGTAAGTTGTATCTGCAACTTCTGGTCTATTTTTCTTCGAAAATTCTCCCCGTCAGTTTCCCATGTATTTTTTGATGTCATTATCAGTCTATGCTGTGTAAAAACTTCGTCATAGTCATTACAACACTGCTATAGATACTAGTGTTCATCAGTCTCATTATAAATTCCGAACTAAGTGCAAGTTAGTTTGATCGCAAACTTTTTCATCTAACACTAACCGTTTGGTTACTTGAGTATACAAAAACCACCTAAGTATTCAGCCACCATTTTGCTGATCGTACAAAATATGATTTTGTTTTTAGGCACTGTCCTCGAGTTCGTGAATACTGTAATAATGTCAGTGTTCCACACCTTTATGATCAGTCTATGTGATTGTATTTGAGACCTAGACTAGTTGTTTTTGATATACAGCTTACACCATACCAGTCTCTATGTTGCTTGTATACTTGAAATATTCGGGTGTAGCTCGCAGAAAGTAATAGGAATTAGGCGATCGGTGCTTTAAATTGATACTTCAGATTCGTCTACTTGCTAGTCCTGCAGAGTGCAGTGCAAAACTGGCCTCAAACAGATCGTCGGATTAAAATCATTCCACTGGTTACGGGAATTAGTAGGAGAGTCTCCGAGATATCCATCTGTGTCTTGTAACACTTAGTTTTCCTCTAGGACTAACATGTGTTAACATTAGGTTAATGAATGCGTTCAACATCTCATTTCACCATTTCATATGCTACATTTTATTCTGAAATTTCTTTCATTTCCGATCACCGTCGAAACTGTCTGGTGTAAAATACCAATACATTTTCTAGATTGTTAGGAAAAAGAGTAATGAAGTAATCAAAAATACGTATATTCGCTCTACTTTGGTGTATGTAGTATTGTGCTAATCTAAATGAAAGTTAATTTACGTAACTTACGGATCTTTATTTGCATTTATAAATTTGATCTTCCCCTTGAAAGCAATTATATCTGTAGAAAGATTCAATAGTATCATCGCCCGTGTAAGTAGAGATGGTAGTGTGGCAAATTCTTCAGTTAGTAGTGAGAGCTGCTTTTGAAACAGTATGTAAGCATCAGCCCATCTCAGGTGCAGTGATGTCTCAACAATTTAGACAAACTTATACTAGGTGTATTCAACTAATGCTACTGCTACACATCTGAACATCTGTGCAGTATTGTAGCCCTAATATAATGTGTATGACTAGTTTTAGGCACACTAGTTCGTTTTAAATTGAAGTAAACTCTTTTTACTTTCCTATTTTTTTATTACATCGTAAGGACGATTGGATTTTTTTGTGACTACCTTGTTGTTGAACTTTTTAGTGCGTCGTAATCCATAAACACTTTTCAATCTCAGCCAGTTCGCGATTTTCTGCGTTTGATCTTGGAAACGATCAGAAGTTGGGCACATTGGTGACTGTCAGCTTAAGGTGAAATAGTACTTTTCAAGTCCCGGTTTGTATTGAAGAGCATCTTTACATGTGTTAAGATGATAAATCGAAAGCAAATAGGAGATTTCAAGATTGAATCGTCTGTGGTGCATTAGTCTATATTTTCAACTTTCAACTATGGAGGTCGCAGTTTCTTACCTTTCCCCACCTACCATGGTCTGGGCAAGTAGGTAGTGTCACTAATCATCACACTAGGTATGACTCATTGCCTACTTCACGAACATGCAGATGGTTCATTTCAGTTTCCCAGTTAATACCCTTCCGTCGTGAACATATATTATATAAGTGTTTTACTTTTGTTAGGCACAACCGCGACATTTTCAAATAGTTTTTTTATCAAATTATGATTAACCATTTATTCTTAATGCTATATCCTGTAGTAACCCAACTACCCTAAAAGTCACTTCAAATCCTATCAAGCAACAAACTTTGCAAGCTAAACAGAATACTATGCCAAAGGTCAATACAAATCCTGTCCCTTCGAAAGATTCTCTCCCTCTTAGTGACGCATTTATTACAAAGACCAACACAGTGAATGTACTGTGTACATTGTGCTCACCTAGAAGATTTGAAGTAAATGCACGGTATCACGCTGGATTAACCCAGTTATTCAAAACTATGGATTCTAAACAGTATGGTAAGATAGCTAGTTGGTTAATAGATTATTGCTTTGTTTCTTTGTATAGTGTTAGTATAGTCTACTCCGAAAAATGATATTTTATGTTTCTGCTATTCACTTTTCAATAGAATTGATCGACCTTGACTGACATGTGGATATCAATGAACTATCACTTTGATAATGCCACTAACTTCATACTAGTATCATCTGTTTAGGGACTAGTAGTGGCATCTAAGATACATTCGCTTTTTGAATTCGGCACGTATCAACTCTATATACGTACATTTCAGTGAGTGAAAGTGTTACCCGTGAGCTTCTCAGTTATCACTCGTCACTTTAAACGTCTAAGAAATCGAAAACTGTTTTAGCTATTAGCAGTATCTAAGGCTCAAGAGACACTCCTCATAACTCAGTTTGGTGGATAGACCACGGATTTCCGGATCATCTTTTCAAACGATAGGCCACGTGTTCAAGCCCCACTCCGCCTACCGAAGTTTAAGCAGCCCTTACACATTAGGTGTGGCTCATTACATACTACACTAATGTGCAAGAGGTTGCTGAGTGTATTTAATTCATTCATCAGATCCTCATCAGTTAGGGATAACGCTGCTCACCGATATTCACGTGTATCCAGTTGAAAACTTCTGAACAGAACAAAACGCAGTCTGGATTTGACTTCTAGCAACCATCAACACATCATAACAAATACTCTCTTTTCTTGATTTGTGTGTCTGCAGAACTCGCTGAACGTTATTTTTGTAATTTTATCTGGATAGATAACCTATTTCTGATATTTTTGAAATGAACCTCTACTGCCACGTCATATCATCTAAAAAGTCCTTAGAAGTATAAGATACTGGGTATTAACGTATTTATATTAGGCCAGCAATACTTACTCAAGAACATTTTGATGTTGAAACCAGTAATAAAGTTTTGACACGAATAATATTTTTTGAAGTTGATTCCATTTCATTAAAATGGTTATGGATAAATCGTCTTATAAAGTCCCAAAAGAACATGAAATAGTTGTTCAGCTATCCTTGATTTTTGATCAATGTTCATATGTCATAAGCTTTTGTTTAAAACTTTGTTTTTGTCAATCGTTGTATCTATCGGTTAGCTTGATGATTACAAGTTACATTATTGATAAAATTTAAGTGCCACCAACAAACATTTGTAACACTTTTATTCGGCAGTTGATTTATCTACTTAACTTATTCCTATAAAGAATTAATTGTTACCCAAATGACTCCATCTGTGACCGCGTTATTAAATATTATAGGCTGAAGTATCCAGACAAAGTGTTCTTTTGACGTTAGTGATACATCTAGCTTATTATTGCTTAAAACGATTTCGTTTATATGATAAGAAATGTCTCTATTAGTTTATCCTATTACTTATCAAATGAAGTAAGCAAACTATGCTATACTTTTTTCCCTTCTCAATTTCACCTCATCGGAATAGATTCTCAAACAAGAAAATGGTCATTCGACTTATCAGATTATAATGATTTTGGTAGGTTGAAAAAATTAGTTTGTTACTTGGAAAATAATCCTTTGTTTTAGTAAAGAAAGTCAATGCTATTGATGAATTACATTTGGAAGGACTTCCGTATGCTGTTCTTAAAGTAGGTGTGTGCTTATTTGTTTGTTTTATAGTGGTAGCCAAAAGTGTTCATGAATACACACAGATGTTCTCAAACTTACTTTATTATCTTTAATTTTGTCTTACAGATTTTCCGTAGTAAACTTTCATCTAAACAAGCAGTGAATAGTGTACAAGATCATGATATATACAGTGAAATTGATCATAGCATGTTGAAGGATAGAATACCGGATGATTTACTGGCAACTTTGTTTCCGTTTCAGAAAGATGGTGTATGGTAAATTACTTACTTAATTACTTACTATAATTTGCTTTCATATGTGATGTGATGATTTTTCACATTAAACACTTATAGTGTAGATGGCATGCCGTCTGTATTGTCTTGCTTTCTGTACTGGATAGTTTAATTGTGAAGCTTTCATCGCCATTTTAAACATCAGTGGGAATAACAATTAAGTGGGCTTTTAATATCCCACTTTTGATGATTGTAAAGATAAGTAGTCATCCTTACAAGCTTCAGAATTAAGCAGTCTACTTCAAATAATGCAGGAGTGATAAATTCTTCAAATTAGGAAGCTAACATTTATGCATCATTGGCCAACTGTACAGGAAACATATCGAATAAGATTTTCATGTTTAAGTAGAATTCTGGCCCAGTATCACAAGCACTTGCTTCAAACTATACATTGTGTTCAACTGTAGTCGATTAGTATTTCAATCCCTTAGCCAATAACTGCTAACTTGATGTGATGATCGGGATTGTGTATCACAATGACCCAACGAGCTACACTGGCTGGAACATTCGTTCTCTCGAGTTCTTACCATGCCAGAAAGGCCATTTGGATAGTGATTAGACAAAAAGCAGCTACCATTGTATTGTGAATTACTACACTGTGATGGGATCTGAGGGTGAAGTCGTACAGTTGGCTGGATGGGGCTTGACTATAGTAAGTTGTTTCCCTTGTATGACTAGCTGTTCCATCTATGTTGATGCTTCTTCCCTACTGAAAGGAGGGAGTTAGAAAATGTCCACCGTAGGAATGACACATTCCTTCCTGCCCCACTGTCTTCCAGTGCTGGCGGGATAGGTTTTTACTACCCGGGGTTAGAACAAACGAGTTTCAAAACAACAATTTTGATACCGTACACAGTGAATGTTTATATGAATAATGGTTTACCTCAGTAGTAACTCTCTGGCCTGGAATGGTTTTAGTAACTTTTTGTATTGGCTGTAACGTGAATGCAGTAGTATTAGTGCAAAGCCGACTGATGAGTATAGTGTTGTTTAGAAATCCTGAAGTTCGAATTAGGAGATAGAAAGACGCCTAATGGCAATTTACGTAATGTAGCTATTGGTACACTTGCAAAAACAAAAAGCAGAGGCTCTTAGTGGAGCTGTGACTCGTTGGTTCAAGAAGTTGACTTTTAGCTAATGAGTCACCGTTTTGAACCCTACTCCACCTACAGAGGTTTGGGGAGCCACGGAGTATCATCATCAATAGCCTTCACACTATAGGTATGGCTCGTCGCCTACTGAACGAATATGCACAAGGTTACTGAGCGGATTTCGATTGGATTATGTGATTTGTAGAAAAGCAGAAAATAGGATAGAAAGAAGGTAAATCCTAAGAGTATTGGGTATAAAGAGGTAGCACATTGTGGGATTTAAAAGAAATTGAGGCATATATGTATCTAATCTATCGCCTCAAGTCTCCAACCATCCATTCTGGTTCTTTTTCATGACAATTGTAGTTTGCCGCACAACTCAAATCAATGATCAGAGACAATAAATGAATGCCATGTATGGGTTTGACATCAGTGAAACCTATCCTTTGTTACTTTCTACCTAAATGAGTTGACACGTTGAGATAATACATAGATAGGTATGCCGGAAACATGTCCCTGTTGACTGCTATATCACTATATGTAACACCTTGGATGTTTTCCGTATGTGGATCCATTTTGTACCGGTAAAACGTTCCCGTTTCAAATAATACTACCACTATATAAGTTATTCCTTAAGTTTTCCAAAACATCATTGCTTTTGTTTTGGTCTCACTTCATTGTTATCCGTTAATTTCCTTTCTCCCGTATTTTAGCTTAGCTCTAAAAAGATCTGGTCGTGTATTATTAGCCGATGATATGGGTCTTGGCAAAACTATCCAATCATTAGCTATTGCATCAGCGTATTACTCTGAGTGGCCATTATTAATTATTGCACCATCATCTGTACGCTTTTCATGGAGGGATCAAATTATTCGTTGGCTTGGAAAAGGATTAGACTTAAACTTAACGCATATTACTGTTGTTAATTCAGGGAAGGATATTGTTGGTGATTCTAGTTCATTCAGTTCATCACTTATAACTATAATTAGTTATGATTTAATGAGTCGATATGGAAAAGAATTACTTAGACGACGGTATGGTGTTGTTATTGCTGTAAGTTATGTTATTTTATTGTCTCAACAAATTGCTTAGACATTTTGTGGGTACATATGTTTCTTTCTGCTCTGGACTCGTCAGCAGTTATCACCCTTCAGACGTTTCATAATGCTAACTTAGGTACTTTATGTTTCATAGTGAAAACATTTACATTCTTAACACTTTTTGAATCCAGAAACTAGAACCCCTTGCTGAAACTGTAGTCGAAAAGCTGAAACCTTTGAGTTTTAGTGTTTTAATGTTGTAACTTGTGTCGAGGGGATTTAGGTGCAATCAGTTGACGAGTCCCAAATAGGATGAAACACGTGTCTCGGATTCCGCTGCCAGCTACTATTCATCATGAATATATCTGTCTGTTGGGAATGGATTCTGTTTAAAAAAAAGATAACGCCTATATTATAATCCAAACTAATATCTCAAAGATAGTTAGCTTAACATAAGCTTTAGTTTATATGATCCAGTTATCAGGCACTTCATTTTCTTATGCTTCACTATATCCATAGAATTGTACCCTGTTAAAACCCTACGTCTACTGTCTATCCCATGTATCACTAATTAAAAATTATGTTTTCTTTCATTGATTGAATCATGTGAAGTTTTCCTAATTGTTTCATACACTTATTTTGATATTTCTTTGTTTAGGATGAATCTCATTTCTTAAAAAATATGAAAGCTGCTCGAACGAAGGCTGCAACACCAATTCTTAAGGTGAGTAATTTTTAGGTCTTTTGAAAAATGGTTTTCGTGTTATAGTGTTATTTGTAATCAAAAAACATTATTAGATAAGTGTAGCATATTTGTCTTCAAGGTGAATTTTCATCAGAGTATTCTGAAAAATGATGCCTTTTTTTGACTAGTGGTAACAAACAGACTCATGATAGAAGAGAACAAGAAATCTAAGAAACCGATGATTTAGCCGACTGTTAAGAGGGATGCATTCGTGTTTAATAATACAATCATCATTTTATAGTGCACAAGCGAAAAGTTAGGGTGAACTTGAAACTGAAAATGAGCATGGATTGAATAACTTTCTGAATAGCATTATCTACTTTGATCTAAGTACTATTGTATAGTAGTACTTTAATGATAGATAGTGGCTAGCAGTGGAATCCAGGAGAAGGAGCCTATGTGTCAATAGAGACCTATCAATTCGGTCCACTCAACAACGGGATAATAGAAGCAACAACAATAATAGTACTTTGGCTAGCAGTCCAGTTGTTTCGCCTATGTAATCTCTCCTTTTGTTCTATAGATAGCAGAGCTCAAGGATGTAATTTTCAGCAATTAAGCTTCTGTTGCAAGTTATTTCTACTCAGTTAGCTTATCTGATACTAGATAATTGGAGTTAATTAATGAAAAGCTCTGAACTTTGGTTTTACGCTTCTTCTTATGCATATATCAGCAAGGTTTATCTTTAATCCTGAAAGTGTTCATTTTGTGCCATGAATTTTGAATCCTTTTGACTGAACTCTGAAGTTATTAGTGTTACCGTTAAACTACTGGGTTTATCACAGATCTCTTTTAAAACTGGATGGACTACAATAAATAGTCGATCACAGGATAGTAAATGATTCCATTTTATGAAATAATAATGATAATAATAATAATAATCACTTTATTCCAGACAACTTTTAGTACATTTTGGAGTTCTCAGTGTGATATTCTATTAAATTTACTTCTTGTACAATATTTTCAAATTAAATAATCATGGTAATTAAGTTTTCTTAGTAATAACAGAATGATAAGGAGTAATACACCAGAACCGGTAGTTTTTAGAGCACCATCTAGTTTATATGTTGTTGCACGTTTGTCGGATAGAAAAGCACACGTCGGTGTGGTTGTCGATGTTCATTCATCCAGTACGAAAATTTTCCGTTTCAACTATGTGTTCATGTAATACGCTATATGATTCATTGTTGTGCTTTCAGGGGTGAACTGTCGTCTACTGTGATATTTTCTCGTAGTCTTGTTGTTAACCCATCTAAAGATAGGTTAAAGAGATTTTAGGAGTGCACGAAAGTATGCTTTTTATGATTTGTTGACATTTGAATGGTTAAAACAAGTAAGAAAAGAGCAATTTGATGAAATATTTTTGGTAGCCCAAAATCTAAGCGAGAGGGCCTAACGGGAACCCAGTTTAGAAGTAGTATTCATCATGGACTGACATCAGTTGGGGAAACATTGAAAATCTGGGAGCACTGGACAACTGTTTCTTCCTAGTATGGGACTTCTCAGCAGTACACACTCACGACGCGGCTAGAGGTCGAATCCAGGACCCTCAGTTTTCACGGAGAGGGCGTTAGCCATTCAGCCACTGAGTCGGTTTCCAGAGGTTCACAATTTCCAACTTCTGTCAATTCACGACACAGCGTGACTGTCACCCAAGGTCTTCAGTTAGCATCCACTTCACTTTCGACTGGTTGACCCCACAGGTCACGGCTTCTCATTAGAGCTTCCTGATATCCATCTGGAAGCAAGTTTGTTTGTTTGGAATATCATTTGGTTCTTGAAATCCAAGTACATTATTTCTCACATATCTTCTCAGTACGGATATTAGCTTATTGCTGACATTTTCCCTGTTTGCATCATTTTGGATGTTTTCTTGTGCTACTAATAAGTATAATAGTTTGAGCTTCTGCATATTTCTGTACGTTACTAATGTGTACTAATTAAAAGAAATCTAGATCAATAACTGTAACTTCGTGTCAATTATCTTCGGGACGAAATACTTCGAAATGTACTCAGTAACCAGAAGCACTTTTGAGCCACTGGTATTGTATGAATGTATATATATATATATATATATATATATATATATATATATATATATATATATATATATGGAATGAATTTTCTTCTGTTTACCCACTAGTTGAAAATCGAGTGCTTCGACCAATGACTCATAGCTTAATACTTAACTCAATAGCCGCGTTGAAGGTTTGATATGTAAATGTTGGTTGATACCTAAGAGTAGGAAAATTCATCAGTTACTCTTCTGTGTTCGATTCGCGTATCGAAATGTATCAAAGCTGTTCACTACAAATAATACAGCAATCAGATAATGATCTTGAATGAGAAATATTACTAATTTCTTTTAACTAAATGAAGTTATTCTTATCGTCCCAATTTTTATAATTTAAGTCTTCCACATTTTACCAGTCACCATAAGGGTACCAAGAAGTAGTTCTTAGTTAGTCGTTTTCACATGCATCATCATCATCATCATTATCAACATAGGACCAGGCATTACTGCGTAACGGTCCGAGTTGCCACACCTCACATCAGCACATCAAGTAAAAAGGTAGTGAGGTGAAGGATGAAGATAAGTGAATGCAGTCAAAAGAAATATAAAGTATGAGAAGAAAGGAAAGAGGAGTGACAAAATAGTGAGATTCGGTATAGCGTTGTTAAGATGAAGATAATGTGTGTATACATCTGCGCCACTGACTTCGGTTCTCAGCCATATCACCTAGGGTCTCCAACCACTGGTTCCTCTTGTCCCGTGGGCCCCAACCACCTAGTCTGCATCGTCCTACATGGCTTAAACCAACAGTCAGAGACTTCATACATTGGTGCCATGTTTTAGTCTGGCCACCTCGGGCTTTTTTCCAGCCTGAACCCACCTCAGCCAACATTGTGTGACGAGGCAATCGGTGACTAGGCATACGTAGTACCTTTGTTGTCAACTTTTGGAAAGTGATCTCAGCTGACGTCAGATTTATTTGCACACTAATGTATTGTTGAGGATATAATTAACCTGACCAGTAACTGTTATCCTGACACGTGGTGGTTGGGCTTGCATATCACAATGAGCTAACGAGCTATCCTGATGGGACACTTTTTCACTCAAGGTCTTATAGTAGTAACGTCTGTTGGATGACGGTAAGAAAAAAAAAGCAGTTACCGTGACAGTGTAAGTCGCTACCCTATGCTGGGGGTTCAAGGGCAAAGTTATACTGCTTGCTGGATGGTGTGGGACGGAAGTAAGGTGTTCCCCTTGACTGATCAGTAGTACCATTCATGTTGGCCCTTCCTTCCCTACTGGAGGAGAGGTCAGGAGAGATCGATCCTAGAAATAGTGCATTCCCCTGTACTCCTCAGAGGTATAGTTAAGTGGAGAGATTCCAGATCTCAAGCTTCTGAAAAGACTGTATGTGACTGGCTTCCAGCAGATACTTTTTTGACTCTGAGCTTACGTGATAACCCTTCTTTTTCAGGTACTTCAAGTAGGACTAACATTCCATGGCACAGGCAGTTGGGAAGTGTCACCCACGCTCAATACGCCGCTAATATTGAAGTTCCTTCTCAGTTATAATAATGATCCACGTAAGGCCTACTAATGTCTAATCAAACCGGTAATTTCTAATTTAACAGGTAAATCCCGAAAAACAGATTAAACCGAGTGCTCAAAGACCTTCCTCATAAACTTATTTTCATTTAGGAAGCGGATTAGTTGTAGAGTCTCTGATTCACTTCTGGCGTTACCAACATGTATCTGATTTCTCGATATTACTGCCCAAAATAGAGTCTTTCGTGGTACAGGTTATTTGCATTACAAGATTTTCATATTTTCCCATTTTTTAATTGAATTGAAGGTGAACTCATTCACTAGCAAACTTTTCACTAAATTTTTATAAGGAGACATGTTTCTGTTCCTGTGAGATCAAGAGTATTCTCCGCTTTAATTTTCATTTTAGTGGGCTAAAAGAGTTCTACTTCTATCTGGAACCCCTGCCATGTCAAGACCAGCTGAGTTATTTCCTCAAGTTTCCATCATTGCTCCTGATCTTTTCCAAGGTGGTTTTCATGAATTTGGTCTGCGGTACTGTTCAGCTAAAGAATGTCCTTGGGGCTGGGACTATTCTGGTTGTTCGAATATGACTGAATTACAATTAGTTTTGGAGAGATCGATCATGATCAGGTAACAGTTCCAGTTATACACGATATTTATTTTGATTTCTTACACGGGCTACTTACAAGTAGTTAGTTGAGTTATAGTAATTTTTGATGTAGGTAGTAAGTAGGCTTGTTTGCTGCTTAGCTCAAATTATGTGATAGTAAGTAATTACCCAGTTGTGTAGTGAAGATTGTTGATCGAATTCTGTAAGTGCTATAGTGTAAAACGCTACTATAGTTATCAGTTTGTATACTCATTCACTTAACTTCTCAGCTATCCTGTTAGTGCTTTTGTGCAAACAATAGGGATATCGGGGCTTATGGCATAAACTTGACAGGTTGACTGCAATCAACCAACAACAATGCATAAATAAGCATAAAGACTAACAATTAGTGCTGTTTGGTAGCCAGAGATGCGTACGTAGAACTCTGTTCAAAGGTGTTGCGGTTTTTAATAGCACCAAAAGAGGAAACCAATATTTATTGGATAATCACTCGAGATAAACATGGAACATTTGACAGGTTAACGAATAAATAAATGATGGTCGGTAGAAAAATTATCCAAAATTTCGCAAGATATTCAGAAAATACATCTACTTCACTATGATCGGCTCTGAGTTATGTCACTGCTGGTCTCCCGGTGGTAATTTCTATCATTTGGCAGGTCTTAGATAATGAACTTGCATGTCTCCGACTAGTAGTTGAAGAACTTATGGTTTGATGCCATGTTTCGCTCTAGTCACTCCTAGCTCCCTTTCAATATTATCCTACTTCAGCTAACATTACATACCATGGTGTAAATTGACTTTATATGTGTAAGACATTTCCCAGACACCTCATTCGCTCCGGAGTCATAACGTCATCAAGTAACTTACCGTCTTCACCTAACATTGGAGGTTAAGTTGTGGTGCTACTTACTATCTTGTTCCATTGTATACGAGTGATGTTGCAAAAAACACCTGGCTATTGTCATTCTTCCATAATATCTATGCCGAAAATCTTCAGATGAAGGCGAAATGGATTGTTACGTCGTACTTGCACCATTTAATGTGTTTTGTGGAAGGAATCAGTTGTAGCAGCTTAGTAATGTTGTATCAAAGGAACTGTCGGTGTCTAAAGCCAACATACCACTTTGTAATGCTACTGACTGAGAAAGTCAGCAGCCAATTTTACGTATCCTGTTTAACATACCTTTTTCTTTGTTTTCTTTGTGCACTAATTACTGTTCGTGTAAACAACCTTTTCAATGAGTAATATGTACGTACTTTTTCTAAAAAACCTTTTGTAGACGCGTAAAAACTGACGTACTGTCACAGTTACCAGCTAAACGTCGTGAGTTAGTTGTACTAGATCCAAGTATTATCAAGAAAGGAAGTCTTGGTCGACATGCTAAAACAATGTTAACCAATAAATTATCTGTAAGTTGTGTTTTCTTTCTTACAGTATTCAATAATTGATAATTTCTAATTGATGTTTTTCTCTCTGTAGAGTAACGAGAAGCGTTCTGCACTTTTTGAGTACTTCCATGCAACTGGTTCAGTGAAGCTCCCTGCTATCGAGTACGTTTAACGCATACCTTTGTTTTACTGTCTATTTCTATGTAGACGACAATCTTCAGCATTGAATTAGAAAGGTTCCAGCTAGTTTGCATCACTTCTGTGTAGGGATTAATAATAATGCCTACATCAGTTTGAGAGGATAATATGGATCTCCTCAAAGTGATAGTTTAAAAAATATCTTATTTAATGAGCACTGTGAAACATGAGGACTACATGTACTGCCGCCTCTTTGTTTGTTACTAGAATTTCATTGGTTTTCCTTTCTCACATATTTATATGATGTGTTAACCTATCAACGATGATGTCTGCCTACTTTCTGTGTTTATCGGGTTATTTCAATGTAATTGTTTTTCTGCCCATTAAGGGATATGCCCCACCGCCTTCGACTCCATAGTTCGGTTACTCCTCGCAATCTATGTCACTACACACACATATAAACTGGTGTACACAATAGAATGTGACGTAATCGTTTATGTAGTGATGAGGTTTATTTTGAAGCATAGGTTTCACCTTCTCTATGATATTGAACCTGGCTGCATAGTGTCCTTTTTTATAGTGGGTAGTGATTGAAGGTGAAATGAAAGTCTGGACCGCGGCCGGATTTGAAACGGCAACCATCGGATTTCCGACCCGATGCTCTACCAACTGAGCTGCGAGGTCTGACTGCTGACGAGATTTTTATTTCGCTTTAATCAGCAAAGGTTTCGCCCGACTACTATGTGAATTCGTGACGCGTTATTACCGCTTGATAGTATTCTTTATAACTGAATCAAGCCTTCATTCTGAGATCATGCTGTTTGATTCCTCCTTATACGGTATAGTGATGTAAACGTCCTTCTTCGGGGCAGGGTACTGATTAGTTCCCACCATTGAAACGTTTTTATAGTGACTGATGATCTTCAGACATACTATGCATCTGAGCTCAATATTATAGAAAAGACGAAATCTATGCTTCAAGACACTACATAGATGATTACGTCACATCTCGCTGTGTATACCAATTCATGTGTGTGTGGTGACACATAGATTGGGAGGAGTAACCGAAATATGAAGTTGAAGATGGTGAATCATATCCCTAAATGGGTAGAAAAACAATCACATTTAAATAATCCACTAAATACAGGAGACAGACAGAACTCATCATCGATAGGTAAACAAAGTCACAGGCCACATGATTGAACTCAAAACAGCCTTTAGTTTCATCTTTGTTCTCGAATGCAAATTCATGTTGCAACCCGACTTATTCTAACCGTGATGTTAAGAGTGTATACAAAGTATCTAACCTATCTACAGTCGTTAACATTTTCTGTGAAAAGTTATGATGTCGTAAGGGGTGCTAAGCAAGTATATTGCTAACACCAAAGTATGGTATCCTGTATAACTGACGCTTAGAATTGCTACAACAAGAAGTCTTAGTGGAGTATACATTCGAATCTCAGAGGGGACATCAGTTCCCGCGAGTTCCCACCTTGCTGACGAGTGTCAACAATCACTAAACTTAAGTCAACCAGGGCTTTTTGTCGATTGCTTACAACCAACTAATATCCATCAAAGTGCACCGCTGTGTTAAGTCTTCTAGCTCCATGGCTACGTTGCAAAACGATCGATATAATTCGATCAGGATTCAGAACCAGACAACATGTAATTAGTTGTTCTCCAGTGACCATTCAATCTAAGTATACTTTCTGTTTTAGAAGCATACTTCAACGCATAGTTTTTAATCTACTGCTGTAACAGGAACGGATCTTTTATAGCATGCTTTTCAGTTTGATATAACATGTTATGAAGGTTATCCTTATGTTGGCTAAAACTAATGTTATTATCTGTTACCTGTAAATGGTTGCAGAGGATGTTGTTAAATATCTTTAACAACATTGTCAGTATTGATTCCCTTCTAAATTCATTACTTAACTTTAACCACCGATCCATATACATATCCCATAGCTTCTAACTGACTAATATAGGTCCTACTTTCTATACAGGAATTCATTGTAGGCTTACGAATGCCTTTATGCATGATTTTTATTTATTACAACAACACACTAGTTATACTGTTGTCTATATTCTCTTCCTCTATCTTCTATTCAGACAATATGTATTGGATTTAATCGAATGTGACCACAAATTCCTACTTTTTGCCCACCATACACATGTCTTGGATGGTCTTGATAAATCATTATCAGAAAAGGTATGGTTAGGTATTTTCATCGTCTAGTAAAACTTTATGCCTTCAATACCTTATATTTCTTTGTGTAAAAGTAAATTTTCCAGTCGATTGTATTTCCTGGTGTATATGTATGGCTAGAATTATTTGAACTTTGCTTAGGTTAGAAACAATGATGGATTTTGATGGAAGGAGATTCAGTTAGGGATTGTGATCATACTTTCAGTGGCTCATGAATTATTCTGTTGGATAAGATATATACAGTAACCAAAGTTATTCAGTCATTGAACATGTTCGATTAGAAGGAGACAGTCATATTTCGGATAAAAATAACGACATTCCTATCCCCGTACGGTAGTCAGTTTCTGTTAGGGTCTTGTCTGAAAATATTTAGTTACCTGGTTTCACGATACACATATTTTTTTATCGTAAGAATCTCTGTCTATGATATACAGCTTAATACATTATAGTTTGCTAAAACTAAGACTCGTGTTGATCATACTTTTAGTATTACATACTAGGCGTCAATCAACAGGATTCCCTGAACCTAGGTTGACACTCATCAGCACAATATATCTACATCCGTGAGGAAACTAATTCCATGTAGCTGATTTGAATCTGCTTCAGTCAGTGATCAATTTAGAGACTTTATCAATAAGGTATTCAGATCGCAACTTACCACCTGTGGGATTGGATTATATTACATGATTTGGCTACCACCGGGTAACCTGTAGTCCTTACTGTCTAGCAATGACTGAAGTCCATCGATTAAGTTCTCACTGTGGTCCCTCAGCCAAGTGAACCGGTACTGCATTAGCTTTCATTTTGTGTTGTATACTAAGAGCTAGACAGCTATATCGGTGACCAATTTATGATTATACCTTTGTTGATATTGGATTCATTTTATATCCAATATTCAACTGACTACTATATGCTACCAAATGGTAATAGCCAGTGCTTAAGTGGAAAGATATGGAAACATACTTAAGGCCTAAAATTTGCTTACCGTTTTCGTTCCTTGAATTAATACTGATTCTCTTATCATGAAAATACATCGATGTAGAACCTGACACAAAAGTACATCAGTTCAATTTGCTACACTTGGTAGCATCCTACTGAGAAGTGCGGGTGGGGTGCGGGGGAGATAACAATAAAGTAAACAAGTTTATGAAAGGAGAGAGAATAAATAAATTCACGTTAGGGGAAATGTTCGGAATAGTGTATGAAGTGCAGCAACCACTTACAGAAGCATCTGTTGTGTAAAGGTTACTGATACTACCTGGCTTCTGAGACGTTACTCGGTTGAACGAGGTCTGAATCTGTGCCCTACTGGATCCATTTACGATAGTGGCGACACCCTGACTGTTATATGGACATTAATTTTAATAACTTTATTCAGTCTATCATCATTTATATCATTATCATTTGATATTACCTTTATTTTAATTAGGGTATACGTTTTATTCGTATTGATGGCCGTACAAATTCTGAACAACGTTCTGTTGTTTGCCAAAAGTTTCAAAAAGAAGAAGACTGTCGGGTAGCATTGCTTTCGATTACTGCAGCTGGTACAGGTAAGTAATTTTAAAATAGTATACACTGATGGATATGAAAGCTCAAACAAAGCCATAATATGATTTTCATCATTGCTAAGTGAAAGAGCTTATGGTTCGTTGAGTTTAGGCAACTGACTTTCATCACCATTTGAAATCCTCTTTCCACTCACTGAGGTTCTAATAATCAAGTAAAATTACTAATTCTAACGTAGATAGGTTTCAAAGCCTAGTTTATGCGTGTTCACATGTTTATTAGGTTGAATGTTTGGATGTTTCATTGGGTTTGATTCTTGATTACTAAATATTGATACAACAACTGAACTGCTGGTGTCTATATGCTGATTGACAATAAACTTTCATGGTTTTCAAAGAAGCAGCGAATCTGAAAAAAAGAAGGGTTTAATGGATTCATAAATTCATTCGATGAAGAATGCAGTCAGCTGTGTGAATTCTTGTGAACTGTAGACTGCTTTGTATATCGACGGGATATCATATGAGTGTATCGGTTTGTCACCTATCACAATTAACATCTAGTTGTGTACCTGCTGGCGTGCTTATCTGCATATCAACGTGGGTCGCTCGTCTAGGGCTGCTTTCTAATTTATCCGGCTACAGCCAAGCCCTTTGCAGAAGATCAAATTAATTTGATGCGATGGGTTTCGCTCAAGTTGTGGAGTCATAAATTGTTTTGGAACCTTTACAGCGAAATATATTTTACCTAGACTATTCCTCATTCCACAATTTAATATATATATAATATATATATATATATATATATATATATATATATATATATATATATATATATATTAACAGTCACGCTTAACTAAAGCCGCGTAAAGTAAATTGTTTGTGATTTAGAGATGACAATCACTAAATAAATATTAAAACTAACTGAAAAAGTTCCTGTTGTATCACATTCTCTGACACTTTAATAGTTATAAATCCGTCAGGCATATTGAAGCGTGTATAACTATTCAACCATCGGGTTTGATTCAACCGACTGGCATTTTCATTTGTGGTCAACGTTTGTTGATTTCATATGAAATACTGTTTCCTAGTGGGCTACACGTGTCTAGTCATACAACCCAGCTTTACCCTTTTCTTACTCTATTACCTTAGATATGAATGATATGTGTCTCTATTATTTATGAATCATTTAATCTGGTGAGACCACTAGGTTACAAGAGCATTTCTTAGGTGAAAAACCTAGAAAACAAAGCTTTGATACGAAATAAGATGAAGAAACGACTTCTAATTCTGATAGACTAGACAAAATTTACTGACCTATAGGGTTTGAAGTGATGAGTACACGGATTAAGTCTCTGTGGGGATACCACTTATTGGGGTGTAGGTACATCCAGCTGACGCCATATCCTGGTTTACACTGGTAACAACCACCAAGTAAATTAAAAATGTCATATAACTTAGCATTCACTACATCCAGTGAAATAGACATTAAATGCATAGACGCTATCGCTACCTGCTATTGACTTTAATAGCAAATGTTTACATTATAATTGAAATGTGCTAGACAGTTTGGGATTTCATCACGAGTTTCGTGAAATGACATCAATACTTGGTTTATCCATCCTGAGAATTCTTGTATCCTATTCAACACCACCATGTTAGGGAGAATGTAGTTCGCTATGCAAAGCACTAACCCCTACCAGTATATGTTGTACATTGTTTCTTCTTTAAAACTACATGGTGAACTTCAATATCTATCACTTCATGTGTTTAATAATAATACTTGAGAAACATTAATAAACAAATAGATGTTATTGGGCTATGCTTACTTTAAAAGTTAGCACTTCAAAGCCTCATAAAAGGTAAAATGGTGATTTATGGCGTACTACTTGACTGACTTTATACCTTATACAGGGTAATCTGAGTTGATAAATTAAAGCTAAACGTTTTGTAATTTGTGCGAACATTTTCTACCAGATCATCAAAGAAAGCTGATTATCGAAGTAATTGATGCAGTGATCAGCATGCTTGACTATTTCATTTCCGTTTGACAAACTAGGGATGGGGGAAAATTAGTTCAGACTGGGAGAAAGGGTAGTTGGGTCGTTTTATTGCTTCAACAGAAGGGTTATATCTAACCCTCACACACACACACATACATACAGTCTTGTGGCTATAAATTTGTTTTCATGAATATAGAGTAGTATCTCAATAGTTAACATGATAGACGTTCAACCGGTGGGTCTCAGAATCGAACACTTAACCACTTACCTAAAATAGGCTAACCTGGTGATATATATTGTAAAATTGAATGATCAATTTGCAAATGATTGACAAAATGCCTCACCCACGTTGAAATTTCCCACAAGTGAGTAGTTTTTCAACTGCCCAACTTTAACCATCAACCAGTAGGTGCAACTCACAGCCTAGTGCCGTGTACCTAGATATGATTTTTTAGTTGCATGTATTTCTACGGATGAATGTATACACACACCGTTGTCAAATTGTTTTTTAGCTAGGCTATTATTAGTATGCTCCGTATTGATGGAGTAGTTGTTTACCAAGTCATTTATCTATGCTGTTCCAAGCACACATAGAAATACTTAAAGCTAACTAGTTACCTGAATATGGTTATAAACTCCAAGGAGAGTGTATGGTGGTAGTGTTAAACTGATTCTCTGTTTTTTAATACTAGATAAAAAATATCACTTTAATGACCTGTAAATTATGCTGACTATCGTAAGCAAACTAATTAGATAGTCACTTGGGACATTGAAAAGATAAATGAATTTTTCTCTATTGTTTTGTTTTCCGCATTCAATGTCAAACATTTCTACTTTTACTATTATCAACTAAATAATTTAGTGAACATTTTGTTTCGTTACCCATAGTGATGTGTTTCAGTTTAGTAGAATACTTGGATAATTAATTTTTCAATGAATTTACTCTTATAGCTTCAATTTGTTCTTTAGTACTCTGTTATTTTTTATGCTAAGTCAAGTGTGTTAAATCCTCTTTTTAAGCCATTGCGTAGGTCATAAATATCTGTACATAAAAGCCTTTAAGCATCAAACTGAATTAAATTGACGTCTGTACTCATAATGTATATCTTGCAGTATTCTCATACGAAGTGCATTTACAACGTTGACTGTATCTTACATTGCTTGCTTAAATTTTGAATGTATAGCTGAGAATTCTATGTTTCTTTGTGGTTGCTTGTGAAGACATTTATTGCGTTAAGTATACGGCTTCCAACTAATGATTCATTAGTTTAAAATGCGTTCTATCTGCTGAGGTTATAGCAGTAAAGTAGTACCAGTATTAATCGTTTATCAGCATGGTTTATTACCTACTGCCTAAGCTTACAAGTGGTTACTTTTGAGTATTGTGCATATCACCTTCTGACTATCCAGACGTCAGTTGATGAATCTATGAATCATTGGTTGAAAATGGTGTATCTACTTCAAACAATACTCTGAAACTGTGTATTTCAATCGCTGAAGTCCTTGACCTTATTCAAACATTTGACTATCAGTGTCATAGAATATAAAGCTTACGTAATTTACCCATGTGCAGTCGATAGTACAGTATTGCTCACTTGCGTTCCACAAACACAGATCGTAGCCAGCATATAACTATATCTCACGATCGCTTTAATACAGCTTACTCCCTTACATTATTCACAATAATGTCATCGAAATCATACGATTATTTACTTACTTGATTCTCTGTTGTTTTGCTTCTTTCATCACTTCCCTATTTCTATAGGTCTGCATTTAACTGCTGCTAATTTAGTCATATTTGCTGAACTGTTTTGGAATCCTGGTGCATTAGTTCAAGCTGAAGATAGAGCTTATCGAATTGGACAGGTTGATTCAGTGCTAATACGTTATTTGATTGCCGAGCAGACTGCAGATGATTTTATTTGGTTAGCTATTGGCTTCACATCATATTCTTTTTGTTTTCTAAATCTAAACTTACATTTTACGAATTTGTTTGTCGAATGTAGTCAACCTGACTATATTGGGATGCATGTTTTCTACAGTAAACACGAAGTCATGACCTTTGGGAAAAACCGGGTGAACATGAGGATAAATACTCATTGATGACATTGGATGGTCGTGGCGCTATGTGGTGAACTGACAGAAGTAGGAAATATGAAGCAATGGATCTCGATCCAGTTGCTCAATGGTAACGTGCTGGTCGCGGAACCTGTGGGTCTTGGGTTCGATCTCTGGCGAGGTCATCAGTGTGCACTGCTGCTGCACAGCTGTCCAGTGCTCTCAGGCTTTCAATATTTCTCCAGTTGATGTCTGTCCATGATGAATACCAAGTGTTCTAGTACTTAAACGGGATCTCTTAAGCGTGGTGCTAACCAGTTCAAGTTAGAATTTCCGCAAGCTTATCAATGTTTTCTTTGTTAAATATATCTGGCTGATGAATATTCATAGGTATACGATCCATGGTTTCTTACGGATATCCTAAAATTGTTCGACAGTTATAATCATCTTGACAACTCATTCTTTACCAATTCTCAAGAACAATACTATAGCCCTAACTTCTAAGGGAAATGCAAAACTAATATCAAGTAGGTGAATTAAAGCTGGTTCAAAAGGTGTACTGACGTTTTAAAGCAATAATTCATGCCTTAAAGACAGATAAAGTGTGTTGTCAGACCAATATTTCTAGCATAGCCATCACCACTTTAATATGTGGATTCTGAGTTGAAATCACCGCGTATCGTAAGTATTGCATCAGAAATGATAAGTTTTTTCAATCTAAATTAATTCTCACGGAGTAAAAATGATTTGTTTAGTGATATTTATAATTTCTTTTCGCTATACTGGGTCGAATGACTCACCTTCTGTTGTTAGATGGGCTCTTACGTGGATGCCCCGATATTTCCTGAATATTTATTATTATAATTTAATTCGTTGCGGCTGGCGGGGGAATCCAGGGTGCGCATTTTGTCCAACTTGGAACTCATCAGCTGAACGTACCTGGACTCCAGTGAATGGTGTTCACTCTGAGACTCGAAGCCAGTACCCGTCGCACCAATTACCAAAGCGTTATCCACTGAGGCACGTGAACCATGGGAAATTTGAAGCATCAATAAACAGCCACTGATTCACGCGTTGCTCAAGAGGTGGCTCTTGTACGCCCATGGCCTAATGGATGTGATTTACTCTCCTCTATAATTTTGAAGCATACTAGTACTCTTGAATCATTTTATAGGCAAATGTATTCATCTAAACGAACATGAAGGAAAATTTAAAGATTATGGTATGGATAAATACGCACATGTACACAGTTTTCCGATTACCTAGTCACACTAATCACACCAACATTTCAATCAAGCTGACTAGTAGCGATATCTTCACTATACATATAAAAATGATTAAATGTTGCGCAACCGAAACATAATACTTCATCATAATTGGTTTCTATGCTGACTTCAATTTCATCGAGAAAAACATATCCGTCATACTACAACTGGATGTCATAGTAACCTGGAGCTTAGTGTTATCTTTTGTCGAAGGTAATGTTAACTCGGGTAAAAGCAGTCCATTGTTCATTGACATCTGATCACATAGGTTCTGATTATTTCAACAAGAACAAGTTTAGAGCTCTAATACTACCTTCAGAATATTTGATTTTCTCATTCTGACGAAATGATGTGCATGACTGATGAAATGGTATCTAATCTCACTGAATGTGATTGACCTACAAGCATAAAAAGTCGCAGTTTTACTTTATTAGTACAATGATAAGCGTCTATTATCGTGTTTCAATAACAACTTATAACCGCCATCCATTAATGGATATGTGCATCTTATTAGCTTAGTCATTTGGCCACCAGACATTGGAATACGAGTAAAAATTTACTCCACTTACTTCGACTTGTTACCATCCTCATCAACATTTACAAATGATGGTTTTTTTCAGTATATCGAATCAAAGAGTTTTCCCGGTCTAATTTTAAAATACTTTTCTAACAGTAGTGTATAATGTCAATACCTTATGCTGCATACAATTTGCGCATTGAAGTACACTAATTATACATTATTCATCGTTAAATATTCATTTTTATACCTTGACAAAAGAATTTCTATTTTGTGTATAATATATAAACTCGGCCTGGTGTGGGTACTAAAAAATACGTTACACAAAATATGTTAAAAAAAAGACAAAGCGATCAAGAATAATTAATTAAATTGAAAAAAGCGTCTTATAAAAAGCATTTTAAAAAGTGTTGGTTACTTTTCTGTTGGTTCTAAATAACTGAAGACGCACACCAGCTATAATAATGATCATTACTGATTTCTGTTTCCATATGCATTTAACATCAACTCAAGCCACTTAGTCAAATAATCTGTTGGACTACGCTGAAAAAGCTGTATTCCATTAACTAGGCTGACGATACAGATACAGAAGACCCTTCAGCATCTGCCGTCCTGCGTCATCTATGGTGCCCGCTGGCGAGATATCCAACTTCCTATCAAAAGACGAGTATACTGAACTGCAGTTCGTTCTGTCCTGTTGAGTGGTTGTGAAGCGTAGCCTTTAGAAGTAGACGACATGAGGCGGTTACAGGGTTTCGATCATTGGTGTCTTCATAGTATTGGCCGTGTTTAGTGGAATCATTTTGTGAGGAATGTTGAGGTGGGGCGAAGGGTACTAGATGATGTGGTAGGCGAATGGATTGATGAGGTTGTAAACGTTAGTCGACTGAGATGGCTTGACGATGTACTATGGATCGCGAACCACTGCCTACCTCTACGTGTTATGCTAGTGGAAGGTGGATTAGGTTGTGTGATGGTTTATGGTGGTGGGGAGACTAAGACCTGATACCATTTGATGAAGTCCCTGAATGTTGGTCTGAGGTGTGTGTGAGTATATGTAGACTGTGTGGTTCGGGTCCGCGAGACGAAAGGAATGAGTGGTTGAGGAGACTTGTTGACATGGCTTAAAATCGGTCACAATGGTGCAAATGTATTCAGTCCTTAACATATGAATCTTGAATATTCACACTAGGCTTTATCTTAAAATTGTTTATTGTGTCGCAGAACTTTGTCTACTTTGATATCACTCCTTTTCTATCCACGTGTTGTTTGTATACTGGTGTGAACTGTGGCAGCTTGAACGGATGCACTTGTGTGCATGGTTCCACGTTGATTTTATGTGTGTCTCCATTAGCAAATGCTAAGCCATTTCAACTATCCTTGATCTCACAGCAGCACATCATCTATTTGCTTCTCGAAACTGGTCTCAGTATAAGTGAAAGGTAAATTTCACGGAAACCTTTCGGGGGACATTCATAATGGAACTCAATTAGCACAAGAGAGTTTGAGCGGAAAATATTCCTCATGTTTACGTGTTTGTTACTGGATATTAATTATTATGATTATTATTATTCAACTATCCTCTCAATAAAATACACATTTATTATTCTAGGCCTCTTGTCGAGCGTAAACTGGAAGTGTTGTCGAAAGCCGGTTTGAATCGAGAAACCTTTCGAATGGTTGATTCTACTAGACTTGGTGTATGTTCTTTTGTTATACTAATGTACTAATTTATAATCCTTATATCTGTCTATTTGTATTTCTTAAACGATATCTTTCAACACAAAGTGTTTAGTTGATTGACTTACTAAGTGGTTGTCAGTGTTGTAGATATTGGATGAATATTTCACGTTTTCACGGTTACTTAAATTTTTTGTGTTTCTCATTTCCGTCTCACTAACTCAACTCAGTGCTTCAGCATTGTAAGTAACGTTTATTGTGTAAGAGCTGCTGGCACTCTCTGACTATTCCAAACTTCGGAGGATGGGTTGTTGTTTCTCATCATGATCCACTGTGAGTTATACTGTAATGATATGTATACAGTTTTGTAACCTACTTCATATAGGGTGTGGTGATAACTTAAAACAATACAGATTGATTGATTTCATAAACTTATCAGCTATGAAATGTGAAATTATGAAGTGAGACTGGAGATGAATGATAGTTGAGGAACTCATCCGTTTATTGTAGATTGATTGACATTAAAAATCGGATCCACTCACTTTGTTTCTACAACTTAAAAGGCGGAGTCAAAGCAGTGGTATAAGTAATGCAAGATTACAAGGTAATTCATCACTAAATAAGAGCAGAAAAGCAATAGAGAAAGCATCGAATTTGTCACTAGATAGTTAGACCACCTAGTGATATCTTATATAAAGCGTGTTAATTTCAAGTTTTAGTCGGAGTTTAAGCTGTTCTGTTAAAAGAAATCTGTGCATTGATTAGTCACAGGAGAGTAACCGATTTCATGTTGTCTAGTCCCGAGTGCAGACCAAATTCTATCAATCATCGCTGACTACAACACTGGGTGGCGCGGGTTCGAATCTCAGGCGAAGTTGGCAGATATACCTTGTTGACAAGTAGCCAACAAGCATGAAATCTAGGTCCAGAGCTTTGCGCCCGATTTCGTCCAACCAACTAACAAAGAGATTTGTGTTTAAGTGACTGAATGCGCATTTATACAGATAGGAATGATCCACATCTCTGCTATGCAGGAATTGGTTGTTCTGCGGTAACTGAAGTAATGTTCTGGATCTTTTCAGTTTTTGGAATCCAATGGTCAAACAGCTCAATGTAACCACTTAGCGAATATAAATAAGATTTCAATTGTGCCTTTTGTTGATAAGCGTCATTTGGCATAGTAACTTAGTCTCTCGTTTCTTCATAAATTATTCTGAAGTTAGATGTAGCAGTACAAACATCAAATTATTGAACTGAAATATTGACTACAATAGTGTCGAGAAAATCTACAAGAAGTTATACTAAACCTAACCATGCTTAGTGTTATTGCTTGTATTATACCGTTGTTGATTAGAACGAATCGATCGGCCTCTATTGTCATATGGGTTCCTGCGCGGATGCCTCGATATTGCCTGTGTTTTTAATTATGTAGTAATGATGGATAGTGGCTAGCAATGGAACCCAGAATGCGCATTTCGTCTTATTCGGGACTCGTCAGCTGCATGTACCTGCTTTCTATCACTACCATATAATTAAAAACACAGGCGATTTCGAGGGATCCGCGCAAGAGCCTATATGCCATTAGAGACCGATCAATCCAGTCCACTCATCGACGGCATAACACAAGCGATAACACTAAAACTGTACCCGTCGCACAAGAAGTGGCTATCGTGGCTCGGTCGTGCAGTGGATAACGCTCTGGTGTTTAAAGCAATCGGTCTAGAGCTGAAGTCCCAGTATAAACAGCAACACTCACTGGGAGGCAGGCGCATCCAACTGACGAGTCCCAAATAGGAGGAAATGCTTATCCTGAATTCCACTGCTAACCACTATATATCATTACTATCTAACTACATTGGTATAATTCTGGAGTGGTACAAATTATGAATAAAGTGGAAAAAATCTGAGGGTCGATTACATTCGAAAAATATCAGGATTTATAGTCTACTTGGTGACTGGCAGCGGAAACCAGTACATGCGTTTCACCCTATTTGGGACTCGTCAATTGGATGTGCCTGCAAGCCAATGAGTAATGTTGTCCCCACAGATAAGCAAACTCAGTTTTCATCGTTTCAAACGCCAAGCAGTTATCCACTAGGGTATTTAGGCACATAAGGTGGGATTTCAGTGAGATTTTAGATCATTTCAAGATAAGTAAAGTATTGGTGAATTCTTTTAACGGCCCTATGGCATATTGTCTGCTAACTGTTCGTTTGAAAGATGTCGATAGATGTGAACTTCTTGGTTGGAGTTCTCTGAATGTGACGAATCAACCGTTTATGAATGAATTTCATGGTATAACCAAGTATTAATCATGTTGGCTCAGTGTATTCATTAGATATTTTTCTGAAACTTGTGAACATCGTGTTACTCCCTATGTACGCATATATTTGTTTTTTTCTCACGCTTTTCTCTACTTCATTATTTTTCTTCTTCGTTAACTTTTTATTGTTTTGCGCTGCATATTATGTACTTTGCATGGTTCTAATTTTTGCGTACTTCTATGGTTTCCGATAAATGATCCATGAGAATAAGACTAAAATTCCCTACTGAATCCCAAACTTATTAAAGCTAAATCCACACTTCACGATGTTAAACTGTATAGTGTAGTCATCACGTTGGTGTTACTAATATCTATCGTATCGACAGTCAACAGAATCTAGTGCCTGATAGATACACGTAGGATAGTGTAGTTCTAGGAGTAATTAGTTTTGTTGAGAATCGCACAGATTCTTTGCGTTTTCTCACAGTTTCTTTCTGTCTTTTGCTACCTTAACAACTCTCAATCACTTCTAATAGAATTCACGACAAAAATAAAGATTTAACAATTTTTGTTGTCTTTCTGTACTGCCTTATTACAACTGTGTCACTCTAGTTCAGGAAGTTATTTTTCGATCATAGATTATATGTTCAAAACCTATTCTGCTGACTTGGGTTAAATCAGTCAGAAAGGTAGTATCACAATCGCACTATAGGTGTGGCTCACCGCCCAGTGGTTGAACTCGTACACAATTGATTAGCTGTCTTTTGTATTCTCGTACACACCTTAAATCATATACAAGCATTAATGATATTTTAAATCTATTTAATGAATATGTACCTTAAGATTGTGGTGGAATGTGTCAGCCACTTCGCTCACTTGTGGAGTTGCGTCTCCCGAACGGGCTAGTTGCTGACGAAATCTCAGCTCGGATACAGAAGGCCTTTCGGCATCTGCCATCCTGCGTCATCTATGGTGCCCGCTGGCGAGATATCCAACTTCCTATCAAAAGACGAGTATACTGCACTGCAGTTCGTTCTGTCCTGTTGAGTGGTTGTGAAGCGTAGCCTTTAGAAGTAGACGACATGAGGCGGTTACAGGGTTTCGATCATTGGTGTCTTCGTAGTATTGGCCGTGTTTAGTGGAATCATTTTGTGAGGAATGTTGAGGTGGGGCGAAGGGTACTAGATGATGTGGCAGACGAATGGATTGATGAGGTTGTAAACGTTAGTCGACTGAGATGGCTTGACGATGTACTATGGATCGCGAACCACTGCCTACCTCTACGTGTTATGCTAGTGGAAGGTGGATTAGGTTGTGTGATGGTTTATGGTGGTGGGGAGACTAAGACCTGATACCATTTGATGAAGTCCCTGAATGTTGGTCTGAGGTGTGTGTGAGTATATGTAGACTGTGTGGTTCGGGTCCGCGAGACGAAAGGAATGAGTGGTTGAGGAGACTTGTTGACATGGCTTAAAATCGGTCACAATGGTGCAAATGTATTCAGTCCTTAACATATGAATCTTGAATATTCACACTAGGCTTTATCTTAAAATTGTTTATTGTGTCGCAGAACTTTGTCTACTTTGATATCACTCCTTTTCTATCCACGTGTTGTTTGTATACTGGTGTGAACTGTGGCAGCTTGAACGGATGCACTTGTGTGCATGGTTCCACGTTGATTTTTTTGTATCATGAAATTCTCATGAGTTTTGAGCTGATTTTTTTTAATTTGTACATGGTCTGAATTTAGAAAAAATTGACTTTTATTTTCTCAACTATTCCCCTAATGGTAATTGCTAACTTATTACTGAAATATTCGGATGTATAAGAACAGCGAACTACAATGTTTCGCTTGTCCTTTCCTTCAGATAAGAATAGGGTTGTTTTGAAATATCTAACTCGATCGGTTTGGATCATTCGTGGAATGGAATGTTTACGTTAATACTTCTCATGTATTCAATGATTTTCAATGGTTAAAGGTTAAAGTAAATATTTTCACATTTTAATTTTGTCTCCTTTTTAGTCAAATACACCGGAACAACAGAAGATCTTAGATTACTTTAAGCGGGAATTGAATGATTTTGAAGATTGGGAGAATTTTGATACTGTCCTATCATCTATCAATGATGATATAAACTTAGAACCTCAGAAATCAATAACTAATGATGATAACAGTAGTAATGAGGAGAATAATGAAACGTCAATTTGTCGAACAAAATCTTCCCAACCGAAAGTCATCAGTCTCTTCAGCTCCAAATCCCAACTATCATTAAGTGTTTCAGTTGATGAGTCGAAAAAACATCGTCTCTTAGTTCCTTCTTCACCAGAGTCAAATCATTCTGAAACATTTTCTCATAAAAGTGACAATGAAAATGAACAAACTGACAATATACTGTGGACTGAAGATTTTGTTGAACAGTTGGACGAGTCGGATGTAGTAATTACGAATGCTGAAGGGCTTTCTGTCAATGAGAATTGTGATGATGATGATGATGATGATGAAAATTTGTTGTCAGCGGCTGTTAAAGTTGCTGAAGCAGCTGAAGTCGACTGGCTTACTGAAGGTCTTATTAAAGAAGGTGATATTGATATTGAAGAGGATATGTAGCCTAGAACCCAATGATTATATAACATCTTTCTTCACAACAGCATTTCTTTATGTACATAGCTTTGAGAATTATTTTTCTATCATCATTTTTTCCTTTGTGTGATTCTGTGTAGTGTTTTCCTGGTTATGCAAAAAGAGGAAAGGCGGTTTTCTTTCAGCAATTATCACATCAACTTTTATTTTTGCTGATATTTATAGGATAAAATCTGAAAGTAAATACTTTTTGTTGCCTTTTTCGGGTTATTGACCAATCTCCAATAGATGATTTGTAAACTTGTCACTGGCTGGAGAATTCGCTGTTGCTGAAAAGTGTCATCCTTTTGTAAGCTTTATTAGTCAACGGTTCGTGCATTGGACATTTAATGGTTTAAAGGGTGTCGACCAAACATAACCTTGTTGTCGCTCATTTCTGGGGTAAAGAAGATCAGTTGTATGACATTTCCATGGTTACCTGTTCGATATTGATTGAAGGCAGAAGCCACATGTAAATCGTCTAGTTCCTTTATGATTGTAAATAACATCGATGTTTCAGTGTTTCCGCTTGAAAGCAGTGGATGGGTGATGAGCCTATTATATGGATTAGTATCCTTTTTGTGGCTTACGTGATGATCCGATATAGTTCAGAATCAAAACTAGTAGCGATCGTCATCTATTATTTTGTTCTCTATTTGTGAATAGTAATGGAAATTTCCCCATCCTTCCTCTTCAGGGTAACGTCGTATCACTTTTTTTGTTGGGCTGTAGCTTATTGGTTTAGGGAGATGATGTTTGACCAGTAGGTTACGGGTTCGAGGCCCATTCCGCCAGCCAGGTAGTATCACCAACCGTCATTCATTGCCTACTGCACAAACTTGTGTGAGGTTGCTGAGTCCATTTTGATACTCCTTGGTGTCCATATTATATTCAGTTTGCGTTTGATCTATGTGTGGACTGAAAAAGGCATCGTGAGGAGCGCTATTATTTGTCGGGCTACTTGTCCTTGACTACCATTTTTACTCTCCAATACGGTTAGGAAAATAGTTGTCCCTTTCCTTGTGATTGACGTCTACTATTTCAGCAAAGTGGATGGGTAAACTACTTGAAATGTCGATCATGAGTTACAAAGACCAATTGCTTCAAAAGATGATTACCTTTTTATGTTAATCGTTGGTTGTTCGTGATATAAAGATATTTTTTGTAACCAATATGGAGGATTTGTAAATATAACTCCGAATCTGTGCATACATTCTGTAATGAGATTACGGGCCTTTTTTCCATACAATCATGAAATATAATGGCCAACTATTATGATTCAGGTAACTTATTCATCGATTGTGAAGAAAGTTTCTTTTGAAGGTACCCTGACCAACAATGGACTAGATGGTTTGAAAAAACTTGGGCACCGAGTTAGTATGATTCATTGTATAGAATGTATTTTTACTTGTGTAATCCTGGTGTAGTATATTAGAACAAATAACCTGAAAACTTAGTGTCAGATTTATACTCTTGAAAAGCATCTTCCTAGCAAGTTCGAAATGTTGAGGAATAATACAAAATATTCGTTTATTTTGTTATTTGTTCTAATATACTACGCCGGGATTACACAAGTAAAAATACATTCTATACAATGAAAGTTACTTTTGTTACCTTTTAAAAGTTTGATAATAGTCTGCATACAGAAGACTGAATAACTATGTGACTTTATAATTGTAAAAAAATGTTCTTGTCTTAGGAGGTTTGAGTTTTTCTACTTCACCAATGATAGACTTTGTTACCATGTCTTGCAAGCGTAAAGTTGGACAGTGTAGAAATTTGTACGACATAGCCAATTTCGAGTAGAAATATGTGACTATATGTCCACTTGAGCACGTCGTGATGTCAATCTTGAAACATCCTTCGTATTTTGGTCATGTACAACGGTAGATACAGACCATCTTTGGCGACTTATTCTAACAACATAATTAGAATTGATGGAGAAACACTGGTTTGTTGTTGTTCTGTAATGCTAGATATATAAGGCAACAGATTTCTGGTAACACAAGAATGATGGATCAACTCGCAGAATTATTCTAAGCGAGTGTAAAGCTTTGAACAACTGATAGGCACCTATAACCTTGTATAATGCAACAAGATAGCATGCAAACAGACGAAATTTAAGTAGAATCTTGTGCGTAAGTTCATCAGTAGCATACAAACCACAAGTGAATATGAAAGATTGAATTCAAATTAAATAAAGGTATATAAATGTAGAGGAAATTTAGGTTAGTCGAAACATCCAAGCTTTAGGAGATGTCAAGGAATGAATGTATCTACGTCATTGTGAACGATTTTTAGCCATGTCACTAATATTTCTTTTTCACTGATTCTTATCGTCTCGGGGACCCCAGTCAGGTAGTCTATACCTCTCCACTCTGCTCAGACCAACAGTAAGAGACTTCATCGAGTGATTTCACGTCTTTTTCTGGCCATCCTGAACCATCTTCCAAACTAATCCGATTTCCCCTAGCATTGCAGTTGAGGTAGGTGGCGACGAAGCATGTGCAACACATGTCCAAGCCACTTCAGTCGACTAAGGTTCACGACCTCACCAGTCGACTTGCTTTCCTTGCCTAGAACCCTTCGTTTGACTCATGTGGTAATCACAAGATAGCTTACCCCTTTTGATTAATATATATATATCGCTCATTTGATAATTCTTATCTAAGTATGCTGTGAACAGGTAGACATACGATATAATACTAGGCCGATCACATAATGGAAACCAATTTGCCATGCTTCATATTGAGATAAGCGGGGAAACAGTCATAATTAAGATGTGTCTGTCTGTTAGTGATATGTTTTCTCACAGCTTTTCTTAAATTTTATCATTGATTCTCACAGTTTTCTTCACTGAAGTTTGTTCAATTTGGTTTTGTGTAAAGTTTGATTAAGCTTTGCTTAGTTACCTTTTTGCCTTCAAGTCCACATTTTAGAAGCGTAAACACTTTCATCTTAAAACCTGTGTTAATCTAAAGTGAAACTAGATATAATATTGCTAAACTACTCATACAACAAATGATCCTGGTAGGCTGATTAAACTGATTTCAATAAGAAAGTTGAAGTTTTTTGACCGATTACTACGTATCACTTCGTTCTTAGGTGTGTGTTCAGGTCTAACATCACTAAGTCAAGTTTTAAGTCTTTCAGATTGTTGGAAACAATTCTTGTTGATTTGTGTTAACAAGGATGTAACGTGGGTAAACAGCTACTCAAGTATTATTATTAAAATAGGTGTTTATAATACTTATCAAGTCTTTTAATAAAGTATGAAATTTTTCGTAATCATCGTTCTTTCTGGTAGTGTTTATTATCATTTTATAGTATGGTTGCGCTCAAATTGTTCAGCTGATGAAGCTGCTGACGACGACGATGAAGTTGATAATCATAGTGGTACTACTGTATGATTCATTGTTTGATTTGAATGCTTATGATAATTATATGATGAAATATCATTCTTTGAGTTTTGTTTAAATGAAGACTTCTGTTACTGACGGCAGTGATGATAACGTTGACGAGTTTTCTTTTTCCGTCTCCGCTTTAAGCTTATTCAATTCATTTGTCTGATCTACTGGTAATTGATTCATTTGATTTATTCCACTATTCACTTCCTCTTCTGTTTGTTTATGTAAAATATAATCACCACGAAAATTGAATTTATAATTTAAAGAATTCTGAGCAGTAATGGTCATTTTTGGTGCATTATTTGAATTTGAAGTACCATATTTAACGACTAGGGTACCAAATGTTAATAATAAACATTTCCTTCTTCGTCTGTCCTCACGTTTCTCTCAGAACTAAATACAAAAATATAGCAGTGAAAATTTTAAATTCCTTCACACGGATCTGTCACCCAGTGAACACTTGATGCAAAAATGCAATTACTCAACTTTTGAGTGCAGATCTCCACACTGATTTCAGACTAATGAAAACCTGTCTTGCTATCTTTCCAATCCTGGTTTTGACATCCTGGTCTTTGCCGCCGCTTATAGTTGAGACCATGCTTCCTAGGTAGGTGAAGTAGACAACTTCCTTTAGGTTTCTGCCGTTGATGGTGATTGGTGCTTGTTGTTGTTGGTGGCGTTGCTTGAATATCTTCGTCACCTCCGTCTTCTCTACACTCACTTGAAGTCTCGTCTTTCTTCGCTGCCCTGCCTCTTCTGTCAACTTCTTAGTTTTCGCCTGTAGATCTTCGATCATTATTAAAATAGATGTTTATAATACTTATCTGGTCTTTCAATAAAGTATGAAATTTTTTGTAATTAGCGTTGCTATGCATATACCAAAGACTATATTTCTCCATACGAAGAAAGTTTTACTCGTATCTTTTTGCTACTATTAACAATTGTTACAATTTTCGTAAATATGAGTTTTTTTCTCTTCTCAAAGAACATTGCAAATATAAACTTAATTTTATTCAACATTTCTTCCTTGGATACATAATTTACCTGTTTTGACAATATTTTTTTGTTTCCATCTTTGTTTTTTCCCTAAACCAATGCTTACTATTGCTCCTCTATATCAGACATTTGCTTCGTTTCACGTGCTCTTTCAGACTTTCTCAATGTATTGGTTCCAATTTACTAGGTATCTTACTGTTTTCCCTTTTATGCTTCTAGCATAGTAAACGTATACAGCATTGAGAAGTAGTATCTGAAATATTTCTCATTAATTAAGTGAGTGCTGTTGATTCAGTGTGTGTGTGCACACCTATATGCTCGTGTTGATCAAGAGTACATGAGTTAAGTTTTCAATTAATCCATCTCCACCTACCTTCTCTCTCATTTTTCCATTAAGCGTCTCAGTAATTTAACTGTACATTTAAGTTTATATAGGGTAGTAATTTTAGACTGAACAAAATGATTTCTTTTCATGGCGATTAATAAAGAAAGGAAATACTTGATAATTGTACAAATAATTTACTGAACAACTTAAGTGAGAAGAAAAGATTTCTCTTGTCCCTGAGAAGGGTAGTAAATCTTAGTAGAACAAGAAAATGATACATTAATGATACGATGAACAGTTTTATTATGTATGCGTGGGAAGTTACAGGTGTATGTATACATTTCAGTGTACTGGGTGAAGTTTTGTATAGTTACTTACTTGTTCAACACCTACGTTACACTAAAAGAAATTCTCATTTATTGCTTGGGAAACTTAAAATTTTCTAGTGAAATCATTTCAAAATAATAAACATATCTCATTCTGCTAATATGATATCATTTTTTAGATATCAGTGCATTACAAGGGATCAATATCCTGCATTATATCACCTTTTATTGACTTTTAATGATGAGTGGATCAATAGTGTGTATTTAATAATTGATGTCATATTGAGAAGAGTCATAGACGTTTAGTACAAAATGATTTTGGCGCGTGATCAGTTGTGAAATGATTAAGTGAACAATTAATAAAAATGTGGACGATAATAATGCGAATGAATTCAAATAACAATCGTTCTACCTTAAAGAACCTTGTACTTCACTAAGTTGCGAAAATCAGGAGGCAAAGACCGATCTATGACTGTAACAAGGACACTTCCTTGGACAGAAAAATACATCAGTTAGGTAAAGTTTTCATGAACATATGAAATCATTGGGTCAAATGTTGAATATTTAGTTTGATTTGTCAACTGTGACAGAATTATCAAATAAGGCTTTTCCTTATCACGAGTATTATTATTATTATTATTAGTCCCTTCGGTCCCCAGTGGAACATAGGGCTTCAGTAGCACGTCTCCAGCGACCTCTGTTCTCTGAGATCTTTTGAACCTGGCTCCACGACAGCCCAGAAACTCTCATTTCCTCCTCGCACGACCTCCTCCATGTCACCCTCGCCTCCGGCGCCCAACTCATCGCTTCCCATGAGGATTCCACTCGAGGCCTGACGCGTGATGTCCCCAGTCGGCCTTCTCAGTGCATGCCCAATCCATCTCCACTTCCTCCTGCATATTTGTTGCGTTATAAGTTCTTGGTTGGTTCGTTCCCAGAGTCCTTGTTGCTTATTCTTATTATTCTTGCCATCTGATCTCAGTAGCGAGCTAGCGTAGGCAGTTGTTGATGAATGTCTGTAGTTTGTTGGAAATCCCTTTCCTAACGAGCAAAGTCTCTGAACCATACAGAAGCACTAATTTGACGTTGGTGTTGAAAATCCAGATCTTATTCCACGTGCTGAGTGCAGAAGATCTCCACACTGGTTTCAGGCTAATGAAGGCCTGTCTTGCTTTTCCGATTCTGACTTTGACATCCTTGTCTGTGCCTGTGTCGCCTGTAGTTGAAACAGTGCTTCCTAGATAGGTGAAGGAGGTTACTTCCTTTAAGTTTCTCCCGTTGATAGTGACTGGAGTTTGTAACGTATTATGAAAGGTGAATTCTAAGAAATTGTTGATTCCCACTTACGTCGCTTCGTATCAAATCTGATCACTACTCTTTGATTTAAAATGGTTTCAGGTAGTTACTTATTTAATGATTGAAAGGCATCTACCCAATTCGAACTGGTTTAACTGCAGGAAAGCTTCTTTTTACTACTCTTTTTGTTATTGGATATCATTTTACGCTAGAATAACTATTGAAATAGAAATGAAAAACAGACTCACGGTAAGATTTGAATTAGGCACCTGCCTATTACCAAGTTAGCGTTCCACTGATTGAAGTACTATACCCAACCTATTCAAGTTTTAATTCTACGTCAGCACTTGCTGTCGTGTGAATAAGTTGTTCACTCACCATGTTAATCAATGCCTAGTTAAGCTAAGAAGGTAGTTATAGATCACCTAGTCAAACGACAGCCAATTAGAAGGAATTCTAGTCTTGCTAGTAGCTTGCTTTCATAGTTCAACAGTGAGATTAATAGGTTAGATGATCTGCAGTTGGTTGCTTCTAATCCTGTTGAAACCCAAGTTTTATTCTAATTTCAAGGATTATCCCTTTCCTCTAGATACTCTCCTTCCTTTGGAAGTTTAGTCAGAATCATTTTATGATGCTTGACTGCGATCAATTGACATGAAATGCTTATCACTGAAATATGTCTCCTCAAATGAAACAGTTGTAATAAGGCTTCTGAAATTTGTTCATTTTTAATCTACTGAATTTAAAACAATGGCACCAATTACTTTAAATTAAATCGTCCAAGAAATTGATAATGTAACTAAGCAAAATAGTATAATGAAGATGAGGTCTTTAAAAACAGCGTTCACTGATTGAAAAGTAATTATCAGTCAGCTTTTCCAGTTCGGTAGAATACATACCTTTTAAAAAAATTGTTTAGTCTCTTCATTGCATGGTAGATGATGTGTAAAAACGGGTTATTGAAATTATTTAAATAATCATAATAGAAAATAACAGAATTTGTTCATTGTAGTCCCATCAACCTAATGCACAGTCCATTTACTCCACCTATGTTCTATTGTTAGGAATAACTTAAATATTTTGTAAGATAAATAGATCTTAGAAAAATTTATCTTTTTCTCAATCCATCTTCTAGTCTTTATATGCTTAATTTATTCTATCAAAACTGAAATAATTAACTTCGAAGATGTTATGCATGACCGAGTAGGATAGTGTTCCAGTTTAAACAAAAAAAAGTCTTTTTAACGAGACACGGAAACACCAGTACACCACTTCATCTAGTTTTTCCTCTATACTAATGTATTTCATGCTATTTAAGCGAACAGATAAAAAGGAAAGTTTTCAGTGTGAAAGAAAACGAAAAGAAAAACAATGATTTGATAAAATTGTAGTTATTATCATTTCACTAAACTTTTCTTATCTAGGTGAATACATAGACCACAACCTGGATAGAGGAAACAAAACTACGTTGCACCAATGAAGCGTAAGGTAATTTGAATATAGCTGTATGCAACTCGGTATTATGTGAAATGGACTGAAATATATATTCAATACAACTGTTGTAATTCCTTTCTCCTTAATAAGTAGTCAAATATGCGTTTAATTATACTTTTTCACTTCTCTGTATATCTATTTATCTCTCTTTCGTTGTTTCTGTTTCTTCCACTTTTTCTATGCATTGTCTCACCTACTCATTTGGGAATAAGTAGTCTTCATTTTATATGATAGCAATTTAACAATCCAGTAAAATATTTTTTAAAAAAATGTAGAAAATGAAATTTTGAACAGATTTTTAAATTAATGCCACGCATCGTTAAGTGATCAATTAGGTTTAAATGGAAGCGTTCAAACAAACTGTCCCTGTGTGTGTGTGTTCTTAAAGCCATGGAGATAAACATGAAGTGAAATAGTTATGAATAAATGTGAGATGGACACAAAACAAGCTGTCACTGTTTTATCACTGGAATATTTTTTTTGTTTTTCGGGCAGAACAGGATAGACGTTGTTTAGTCACTTGTTTTATTTACAATTTTTATTAACATACTTTCAGATATCTTTGTGTGAAGTAGGATATTTAGTAGCTGTGCAGCAGAAGGAAAATATTCAGAAAGACGCGATTATAATGTAGACAGTTTTTTCAGTGATCTCTTAACTACTTCACCCCTTCGTCTAATCGGTATACTCTTCTTAGTGTGTAGTAAACTTCACTGTATATTCGCCGTTTGCTTTCACATTCATATAAGAGTAGTTGCATTGTGAATACGTAATTCTTTCTCAGTATTCATTAGCTCTGCATAGTCTAATACGCAGCAGGATTGGTAGAAGAAACACGCCTCTGTGTATGG